CCCCAAAACCCCAAAACCCCAAAACCCCAAAACCCCAAAACCCCAAAACCCCAAAACCCCATCATTTTATTTTAGGTCTGCCTGTTTTATATAAAAATGAAGTCCGAGGGCTTTAATCCTTTTAAAGATCAAAAACTATCGAGATAATATCTGGAGAAATGCAAGAAGGCTTCTTTATAAATTTTTAGTTTAAATTTTAATAGTTTAGGCACGCCGCTGGGTTATTTAGAATCTAGGCTACTAGTAGACGACTCTGAAATTTTCCTTTTGTTTCTTTGTGATGTATCCATCCCTTGGTCCTCTACTAGAATGTAAATCCAAGTCCAATAAAATTAGTCTTACCTGTCTCAGATGCTTCTAAGTCGTCAACTTCGACGATTTGTTTCACATTATTAAGTCCTACAGTCCGATTTGTCCTACCTTCTTTAACTAAAAATTTTGGTAAATATTTTATCTTACCTTCAGTTGCAGGTGCCAAAAGAGTACAAGTAGGGAGGGACATCTTACTGGTATCTGAAAGCCGAGGCGAATTCTCTGAAATCACATTGATTTCAGCAATTAACTCTCTTACTGGCCTGAAATCTCAGTCTAAGTCTGGGTACTGGAATGTATCCGAAGACTGCACGGTAAACTTTTTGCTCTCAATTTTGTTCATGCTCACTTTTTCTTTCAATAAAATAGACTCAAGATTGTAACTGTTCATGATATCTTCAGAACAGTTGGATCTAAAGGATGAATATTGCTAACTTACTCTATCTTAGTGGGTGTCCTGAACTTCTTGGAATAGGAGTCAATAACTGATCATAAATTTTGACACTTTTGCTCTAAAAATTCAAGATCCATCTGTAGTGAAGTCTGGTAGGAGTTCACCATACTTTTGTACTTAATCTTCAGAAGTTCTTCCCTAGAGTTGAGCTCTTTCCTGATTCTATCAAAGAACTGGCTGAGCTGTGAGATATCATCTGCCTCTCTTGCTTCGAGATGAAGCAACTCATTCTTTGTGGTCTTGAAAATGTCAGAATATTGCTCTAAGTAGGACTTGATAGTCTTCATTTGCTTGTGTTTGTCTGAGTTCTCATTTTGAGAGTCAATAACCTCGCTTGCAATTGCTAGTCCCTCCAAGACATTATTGACCAAGTCAGAACATTTCGATGAAGGGTGATCTGCAGTCTCAACCTCTGAGGTTTTATCAGAGCGAACTCTTTTCCTCGGTCTTGCACTATTTTGAGTTAAAAATAAAACCTTACTTAGATGAATTTTCTTGCAAGGCAGCTTGAGAAAAGGAGAATTGATTAGAAGAATCCTCTTTGATAGTTGCCTGGCCAGTCTTACACTTAGAATCAAGCTTGACGTTTGTTGGAAGCAGAATCTTGAGGTTCTTGTTAGCCTTCCTGCCAATTATCAGCTTAGAAGGGGTCACTACAGTATGAAAATACTAATCTTACTCAGATTTTCTCTAGATTTTTCTTGAGGTATATTAATAGACCGATTTAGCCTAAACTTAGTTAAAAGGATCCTTAATAACACTTACTGTTCTTGGCATGGAATTTTCAAGTTTTGATACTCAATGGGGCCATAAGAGGATTTGTTCATGCATGGGTTAACTCAGTTCTCTTCTCTATAAAAAGTTTGTATTAGCCTAAGATATACAAGACTTACTCTATTTTCTTAGCTGGTTCACCAGAGCCAGTTTTATCATGGCTTAAGAAGTCTTCAGGAGAGCTTGAGGTACTCTTCTTTCTTTTCTTAATGATCTTGGTCAAGTTCATTGTGTTGTGTTGATTAGTAAGACCCATATTTGTCTTCCTTCTCACTTTCTTAATTTTGAATTTGCTTTTGTTTGACAATACACCTCCCTGATTTTGAGACTCATCGCTTTGCTTCCTTCCTGAGTGTTCGTCAAAATCATCATTAGGCTGAAGATAAATTGCAAAACATACCTGGAAAGTATTTTGGAGGGTAATTTTAGAGTTCCTGCTCATGAAAGACTCCGATTTTCTATTTCTCAACCGTCTATGTGCATAAATTTTTGCTATTTACTTAACCATCATGCTTGCAAATTCTAAATTTAGTCAGATTATTTCTCAAAAATAAGGTACAAAATCTCCAAATTAGGGTTATAAACAAAGTAGATACGAATTCTCCAAACATTGAAATTAGCTTACCTTCTTTTCCAAAGGTGCGGCTTTGATTAGAATCCTTTGCATCTGATCCTAATAAAGTTATTGCTTAAAGCATACCAAATCCATTCTTTAAAAGTTCCAGCTTTTTGAAAGATCTCATGATTCTATACAGTAAGAGTTATACAAAAGAACCAATATTGTCCTAAAGTATAGTCCTTTCCGTGATTTAGGAGCTAAATGAATGGTACCCAAATATTTATCTAATGGTTAATCTAGAAAAGTCTTTAGATGGACTCTAATTTCAATGAGGAAATTAACCTTGAATTAATTGATGTGTACACACCTAGGTACTCAAACATTCTCCGATTTGAGAAGATCATATTAGAGAGGTGTTCGAAGATTCTGCTGGAGTCTGGAATGAAAGAAGATACTAAAGGCCCCAGGCTCCCTATGAGATTTCTTATTGAGTCAAAAAGAGCCAGAAATATGTACAGCTTGTTTAAGCTCTCCATACAGTAGATATTATTAAGTCTGATAAGTTGCTCTGAGTTATGAATACTAATCCTGGATTTCATGAGTAAGTTTACAAGGGATACGCTATTCACTAAACCTAAGATTTCAGATAGTAATTATAGTAGAGATAGCAACTTTAGTTAGCATTCGACGACTTTTTCTTAAATTTGTCTATGAGTATCGTCCATACCAGTCAAATAATAAGCTAATAATTTGAGTTAGGTAAATAAGCCTGATATTATGAAATCACTAAGTCACTAGAGTATTTTTATGAGAGAAAAAAGACATTTCTTCTCCAAAATTATGAGCTTCTTAAGTACTCAAAATCTGATTAATATCCCTTAAAAACATAAATAACATTAAAAATTTATTTAGTTGCACTAATTCTACAATTTATGAAGTTATATTAATAATTTTCAAATCAGCCTGCTGCTTACAGAATACTATTTAACTCGGAAATATGTCTTAAAGCATTACATCTTATGACATATAGTTATTTACTAAGCCCATGAAATCTGGAACCTAGCGATGAGAGTATTGGTACTAGTAACCACTAACAGTTGAGGTATGCTAACCTCCAATAAAATAGAGGAAGAAGGGATTTGATGATAAGCCATTTATCTGAATACTCGAGTGCTTTTTCATTTCCCAACACTTAGGATGCCTTTGCATGAGTAATAATAGATGTCATTTTAGTAACAAATTTTTAGAAATTTTGAAAAATTCTATTGTTGAAAATGGAACGAAAATCTTCACCTAATTTTACAAAAATGCTAGGATAATATCCTTCCATAAAGTGAAGGACCGTATCTCTACATGTAAAGATATAGGCTTTTTATCTAATAATTAGGGGAAAGGAAACAGAGACATCTCTACACGGATGCTCTAGAAAGAAAACCAAGTAACACTCTTTTTCCTTTGCTTGAAAGATAAAATGGAGAAACACGAACGTATTTGAAACTGAGAAATATTAAAAATTATTTCAAAAACCTTCGATAATAAATCTAGATGGACCTACGATTTCTTTGAATTCTTGAGTCTTGCTCTAAGACCCGTTGGGATCTTCTTTGATGCTGAAGCAGCATTCTTAACTTCAGGCAATTTGGTCTGGTTTATTGTCGAGGAGCTTAACCCTTTGGTGCCTAAAGCCATATTTAGATACTAAAAATTTTGATGAAATGCCAGTAAAGTTTCTATAGCTTCCAGCATATTGCTAAGCATTTTCAGCTAGTAAAGTATCAAACAGTCAGACCTTCATATGAATATTTCGAGAAATTTGGGAAATTATAATATGGCTACTTCCATACTCCTACCGAATATATTCCTGGGTTAATAAACCTCACTAATGTATGAAACTAAAGCAAGGGATGGTCTCACTAATGTTAATTGAGTTTTAGTATTTTTTTATAATACTACGAATGCAACCAAGAAGGTTATAAATTTTTAACCCGAGGTATCAACTTGGAAGTTTTCTCGTAAAAACTCGATATGAAGAAGAAAATTAGTCACTCTTTTCATTGTTAAGAGAGACTCTCTCCGATTCATCGGCAGATTATGTTACTGAAACTTGCAGCTCCCCTGGGAGAAATCTTGAGATGCTAATAACTTCAATTCTCTGCTAGTTAATTGATATAAATTATCAGATCTCGAAAGGTTTCATCAAATAGCTCTTTCCTTTTTTCCAGAAATTTAAATAGTACTTTGCTTAGTATTTCCTACTAATGATGGTATGTTAAGCATAATAAGAGATAAGTCAGAGATAAACTGTTAATAACTAGTATGAAACTTATGAATAGCTGTCTTTTGTATAAACAAAGCGTGTCTAAATTGCAATCTGATTTTAAAGAGCAATGAAATAAAACTAAAACTGCTATATTATCAAAACCTTATTCATCGAAAATTTCAGAAAATTTCTAGTTTCTACATTTTCAGTTGTCTTCAGGAAGACCATTTGTATCTCATTGTGATATTCAGGTGACTAGAGTAGTCCTTTTGAGAAACTGTTAGAAACAATTTTTTATAAAGATATGGGAGATGTGCTGATTAATATCTATTTATACTCGTTTATTACTAAATCTAGATTAGAGTACTTCAGTTTGATTTTATAGTTCAGAGTATACATAGATTATAGAGAAGTAGAGAAATAGGTAACATTATTGCTCAAGTTGCTGATGAGAAGATATGTCCCAGATTATTTTTGAGCCCCATATAATCTGAAAAGGCAAAAGTCTATTTAGTAAATCGAAAAGCAAATAATTTTTATTTTCTCAATCATCTCTAAGCAGGAAGTCAATGGGTAGAAATTGATACAGTAATAGTAACTCTAAAAATTGGAGAGTTATCTAACCTCTTCTCAAGTTAATCATCGTACCTGATGTATCCTTAGAATCAAATGATCTTTCAAGAATGTCGTCTGAGATTCCAGGGACTTCTAGATGTCCTCTGAAAGATTTCTTCATATTGGAGTTAGGCATGCAATTGAAGCAGAAGGGCAATTTCTGGCCCAAACTTGTTGTGCCCTCTTTGTTTTTACCAGAATTCATGCTACTTTTATCCAGGTACTGGACATAGCTCTTTGGATAACTTTTTTGACAAGCAAATCAGTCTACTTGCTCTACTGTATTGGCTGGCATTTTCTTTGTTTTAATTATTGTTCAAGTTTTATATAGTTTGCAGGGGTTTTGGGGTTTTGGGGTTTTGGGGTTTGGGGG